TATTTTTTTTTTAGAGATGGGTTTTGTCGTGTTGTCCAGGCTGATTTCAAACTCCTGGGCTTAAGCTATCTGCTGGCGTAGGCCTCCCAAAGTGCTGGGATTATAGGCGTGAGCCACCGTGCCCAGCCAGTTTTATTTTTAGATAGCTGATAGTGGAAGCAACTTAAATGTCCTTCACTGGGTAAATGGTTAAACAAACTGTGGTAAATCCCTATCATAGAATAATACTCAGCAATAAGAAGGAATGAACTATTGATTCAAACAACTTGGATGGGTATCAAGGGAATTATGCTGAGAGGAAAAAAGCCAATCTCAAAATCATGCATATTGTATGATTCCACTTATATAACATTCTTGAAATGACAAAGTAGAGGATGGGTGCAGTGGCTCATGCCTGTAATCCCAGCACTTTGGGAGGCCAACGTGGGCAGGCAGATCACCTGAGGTCAGGAGTTCGAGACCAGCTTGGCCAACATGGCAAAACCCCATCTCTACTAAAAATGCAAAAAATTAGGTGGACAAGGTGGCATGTGCCTGTAATCCCAGCAATAGGGGATTTCTTTGTATTATTTCTTAGAACTGTACTGAATCTTTAATGATCTAAAAATAAAAAGTTAAAAATTATATTTAGGTTTTAGGATATATTACGATTATTTTAAAACAGAAGATTTGGCCAGACATGGTGGCTCATGCCTGTAATCACAGCATTTTGGGAGGCCAAAGTGGGAGGATCACTTGAGTCTAGGAGTCTGAGACCAGCCTGGGAAGCTTAGCAAGAACGCATTTCTATTAAAAAATAATTCGGGGGCTGGGCTCAGTGACTCGTGCCTGTAATTCCAACACTTTGGCAGGCTGAGGTGGGCAGATCACGAGGTCAAGAGATCAAGACCATCTTGGCCAACATGGTGAAACCCTGTCTCTACTAAAATACAAAAAAAAAATTTTTTTTTAATTAGCGGGGTGTGGTGGTACACACCTGTGGTCCCAGCTACTCAGGAGGCTGAGGCAGAGGAATCGCTTGAACCTGGGAGGCAGAGATTGCAGTGAACTGAGACCACGCCACTGCACTCTAGCCTGGTGACAGAGCGAGACTCTGTCTCAAAAACAAAACAAAACAAAACAAAACAAAAAAATCGGGAACTCTTTCCTTTTACCTCATTGTACTCTTGAGAGCAAGATGGGTTACCAGCAGCTCTACTGGAGCCACCCACAAAAATTCAGCCAGGGTTCTTGCTCTTGTCATATCTGTTCAAACCAGCATAGTCAGCGGGGTGCGGTGGCTCACACCGGTAATACCAGCACTTTGGGAGGCCGAGGTGGGCAGATCACAAGGTCAGGAGTTCGAGACCAGCCTGACCAACATGGTTGAAACCCCATCTCTCTAAAAATACAAAAAATTAGCCAGGCGTGCTAGGGAACACCTGTAATCCTAGCTACTCGGGAGGCTGAGGCAGGAGAATTGCTTGAACCTGGGAGGCAGAAGTTGCAGTGAGCTGAGACCACACCATTGCACTCCAGCCTGGGTGACAGAGTGAGACTCCATCTCAAACAACAACAACAACAACAAACCAGCACAGTCTGATCTGGAAATATGGCCTCAATATATACCACCAGCCTTTCCATCAGTACACGAAGGATATATGTTTCATTAAACTGGACTAAGTGATTGCTTTTGAATGGATTATCCAAGGCATGCACCCAATTAAAAACCATGTTAGTTCTTCATATATGAAAATTAAAGGCCGGGCGCGGTGGCTCATGCCTGTAATCCCAGCACTTTGGGAGGCCGAGGTGGGCGGATCACAGGATCAGGAGATCGAGACCACGGTGAAACCCCGTCTCTACTAAAAATACAAAAAAGAATTAGCTGGGGGCGGTGGTGGGCGCCTGTAGTCCCAGCTACTTGGGAGGCTGAGGCAGGAGAATGGCATGAACCCAGGAAGCAGAGCTTGCGCTGAGCCAAGATCACGCCACCGCACTCCAGCCTGGGTGACAGAGGGAGACTCTATCTCAAAAAACAAACTAACAAACAAAATTAGCTGGGGCAGTGGCGGGCGCCTGTAATCCCAGCTACTCAGGAGGCTGAGGCAGGAGAATTGCTTGAACCCATGAGATGGAGGTTGCAGTGAGCTGAGATTGCGCCACT